AAACTACATACAGAATCTAACCTCTTTGAGATGCTTAACTTTACGATTCTGTTACTCTGTGCCATTGGCTTTAGATCACAAAGGGAAGCCACTGGAATTGGACATGAGGAAATAGAAATTCAAGATGCAGCCTGTGTATTTTAAAATTTTTTAAAGCAGAGAAAACTGTCACTATAGTCAGAGGCAGGAGTAAAAAAAATAAACACAATGTATACTTGCCGAGGGACAGAATTATGCCACATCATCCTCAGCTTTTCCGTAATGTTCCTCCTACCTCCATGACTCATGTGAAAGCTGACTTTGCCCTGATAACAAAATGCCCTTCTCCAATGGAGGCCTCTTATCTTCCTCCCCCATCTGCAACCCAGTTTCACAGGACCAAGAGGAAGAGTTGATAAACTCTACACACAGAAGGGTAAAAAGAACATAGGCGGTTGTACAACTTGTACAATGTATACTTTGTAGGAAGTAAAACTGCTCTGTAATCCATTTCCCACAGACCGTTAGTGTTAAAACCTGGCGTATTTTCTTTTGGGTACCATGTATATATAACTATAATATATCTGATTTATCTAGCTACTTATCATATATACACAATATATATACACATATATATACAATATGCTATAACTTTCTATAACTTCATCAACATCTATATTTGTATTGACACTTTGTTCTAGGTGAAATTATTTTTCCTTTATACATTTTCATGTTTAAAGTATTTTCATTTTTACATTGAGAAACTTTAATATACTCCCTGTCCTCTTTACCATCTCACGGTCTCTGCCACCCTGCTCATTCTGAGCAAATGTTCCTTTGCCCTTCCACATGAGTGCATGCCAAAATTTTCACCACCAATTACAATAAAATTATGAATATTTGCTTGTCACTTTCATGGCTTATAATATACTCTTTTAGAAGTCACTGATTAGAAGACTCCTAATTCTTCTTGAAATTCCCATACCAGTTATTTAATCCTGAACTAGATGCCAGTTCATCCTCTCATCCTCTACTATCAAGAAATACTCAACACCCAAAGAACAAACAACCCACTTAAGAAATGGGCATGGGGCGCCTGGGTGGCTCAGTCAGTTAAACATCCGACTTAGGTTCAGGTCTTGATCTCCAAGTTCATGAGTTCGAGCCCCGCGTCGGGCTCTGTGCTGACAGCTCAGATCCTGGAGCCTGCTTCACATTCTGTGCCTCCCTCTCTCTTCCCCTCCCCTGCTCATGCTCTCTCTCCCCCCCCCCAAAATAAGTAAACATTATTAAAACTTTAAAAACTATAAATGGTCAGAAGACCTTGGGGCTTCCGGGTGGCTCAGCCAGTTAAGCGTCCGACTTTGGCTCATGTCATGATCTAGAATTTACTTTTTAGAATTTACTTTTTAGTGTAGGAGGCAAAATGTGAGCCAGTGGGACATATCTTGCTGATGACTCAGGGCAGTGTGGTGGTTTATTTGATTATGTATTATTGAAGTTTGAGCGCGTTTAGATGGACTGAGCACTTTGCAGTTTATGGTAAGTCTCAGTCTTTCCTGCTGTGTTTATATTAGGCCACACACCTGTACCTACTTGAAAGGACCTTGAGGCCACTTCAGCAGGATGCTTCCGCTCCACCCTTTTTCTCAGGTCTTGGCATATGTAAATACCCTTTCTTCTTTCCATGGCTATTTGATATAGTTGTGTCAGGGTACCGTGCAAGCCTTCCTAAGGTTCAGCCTACTCTTCAGGTCCCATCTAATTGCCCAAGTTCATAATTTGGGTTTTGTATCTGCTCTGAAATTGGCTGGACAATGAGATACGGTCTTCCCAGAATCCCGCTTCCTTTTCAGGCCCTCACTCAAGCTCAGCGCCTCCTGCTGTAAACCTGGGGGAAACTTCAGGGTTGTCGTAAGAATCAAGCCCATTGATATTTTTCATCACTTGGTATTTCAAAATTTACTTACTTTCTAAAATATGGTCTTTTGGTCTTTTGAGGTATAATTCACATGCAATGAAATCTCCGTAGATATGTTTTGATCACTTTTGAAAATGACAAACTTTTATAGCCACCTCTCCTGTTAAAAGTATGGAATATTTCAGGGCTCCTAGATGGCTCAGTAGGTTAAGCATCTGACTCTTGTTTTCAGCTCAGGTCACGATCTCACAGTTTCATGTGTTTGAGCCCTGCATCAGACTCTGCACTGATGGTGAAGAGCCTGCCTGGGATTCTCTCTCTCCTCTCTCTGCCCCTCCCTTGCTTATGCTGTCTCTCTCTCTCTCTCTCAAAAATAAATAAGTAAACTTTAAAAAAATAAATGGAATATTTTCATCACCTCCAATAGTCCTCTCATACCACCTGTCAGTCATCCTAGCCTCAGAAGCGACCACTATTCCAATTTCCAAAGTTAGCTAATTTTATTAATTTTGTTTTTATTAAGTTTAGTAGGAGTTAATAAGTAGTACTTTCCTTCCTTCTTTGATGTTTGGTATACTGATAAATTGCATGACCTCCTTCTAACTAAAAAATTTTTTAAGTGAGAATATTGATTCACTTGAGTTTAAATAATTTGTGAATAAAATGAATATATCTCAAACTGAGAATGGATCTTTAACACAAAGCCTAGTTTATCCCAAGGACAAAGATTTGTGAAAGTTAAAATTACACCAAAGCCAGCCTTCAGGCTCACAAAAACCAAGATTACCTTTATTTCTTAGATTTTCTGGGAGATGCTTCTAGGCAGAGTTTTGCTGGAAAGATACATTAGGAAATGACCACGTGACACATTTAAACTTTAAACCTTGACTGAAGTCAGTAATAATTAGAATTTTATTGCACATTCTGTGTCATGTTCTGTATGAAAGACTTTAAGTCCTAGGCTTATAATCACTTCACATCATAGCTGCCTATTTTAACACAATGCTTTTCTTTCTTCAGTTTTCCTTCCATAATAAGTTATTTCTCTGTGTCTCTCCTTCAGTGTACTTCCTCTATATCCCACCTATGTTTTAAGTTCTAGATCTCCCTGTTGGTAACAGTAATCATGGCCAACTCTTTTTATAGCAGATCAAGTATTCGGAAAACTTCATTTATCTTCCTGTCAATGCGCTTGGCTATCTCGATTCTTTTAGCCATACTTCCTCTTATAAAACTGTATAGAAAATCAGTATATAACACATAGAGTAGGACTGGGGAAAAAATTAAAGCCATAAAGATTTTATGGACAATAACTAGCAAGAGTTTCAGTCCCGACTCTACGATTTATTAGCTATGTGTTTTTGGACACAGTAAATTCATACCTTTGTTTCAAAAGTCTGATGAGAGTAATACCTGCCATATCTACTTGTGTTATGAAAGTAACAAAATTAGAGACACCTGGGTGGCTCAGTTGGTTAAGCACCTGACTCTTGGTTTGGCTCAGGTCATGATCTCACGGTTTGTTGGATCGAGCCCCACATTGGGCTCTGCGTTGACAGAGCGGAGCCTGCTTAGGATTCTCTCTCTCCCTCTCTCTCTGCCCCTCTCCCCACCTCATGCCTTCACTCTCTCTTTCTTTCAAAATAAATAAACTTTAAAAAAAAAGAAAGTGGGGCGCCTGGGTGGCGCAGTCGGTTAAGCGTCTGACTTCAGCCAGGTCACGATCTCGCGGTCCGTGAGTTCGAGCCCCGCGTCAGGCTCTGGGCTGATGGCTCAGAGCCTGGAGCCTGTTTCCGATTCTATGTCTCCCTCTCTCTCTGCCCCTCCCCCATTCATGCTCTGTCTCTCTCTGTCCCAAAAATAAGTAAACGTTGAAAAAAAAATAAATAAATAATTAAAAATTAAAAAAAAAAAAAGAAAGAAAGTGACAAAATTAAATCATATGTGAGAAAGTGAGATATAAGACAATGTGATTATGAACATTGTATTTTCTAACCAATATTAGGGCTGATTTCTAATTATAAAGAAAAAGACAACAAAACCTCAGAATCATCTTCCCCTGGAATTCTTTTGCAAAGAAGGCAAGAGGCTGTATTCACAGATAGGAAAGAAGTCCTCACTCCTTTGCTCTATCAACTGCTTGTGGTGGTGGTGGTGGTCTTTTCCCAAAAACATGTGTTTCTATGTTTTTGCTGTAATTCTTCCTTCATTATAACTCTTACTACAATGTAAGTTAACCTTATTTAGATGACTGTCTCACTCTACCAGATAAGAAGATCCCTGAGGTTAGAGGTCCTTGCCCCAAATGAGAGAACAGCAAATGGATGGATGGATGGTTAGATGGATGAATGGTACCACAGCTTTTAAGAATGCATGTATGAGGTCTTAATGATGTCCACAAAGTCTTGAATGCTTGCTGTAAGATGAAGACCACTTACCAGAAAAAAATCAATCTTTCGCTTAATTGTTTACACAGAATATTCACATTATGGTTCAGGCATTTCTTTACTTTTTCCATGGAGGCCCTTGTAGTCCATGCTAAGTTCACCTAGAAAATGCATCCAAGTGTTTTCTCTGGTTTTTTTCTTTTCTTCTCCTTCCACCATGATAACCTTGTGCTTTTCCTCTCTCTTTCCCAACCCATCCCTCTCTGGGTTCTGGAGGAGTGGCATCTAGTCTTTATTGTCATTCCTGGCTGGAGAAGCCGTTCTCTAGGTCTTTTAGATGATTTTGAATAAACATATACAAGTCAAAAGGGACAATATCTATTTAGCTCACTAATATTGACCATCTCTTGTAGCATCACTTTGATAGGTCATACTAGCAAAGGTCTATGCTTATAATCCATTGAAAAAAATTACTTTCTAGGAGTTTATGCTGACAGTAATGTACAGAGACATGGAGGAAGGGGTGAGGGAAAAATAAAAATCCTTTTATATAAATACAATACAAATTTAATTTGTTTTAATAATTTAACAATGCAGTGGAAATGCATTAATCCAAAAAAGAAAAACAATGATGAAAGAATGTGATGTGGTTGGGTAAAGGGTAAATAATTAATAATAATAATAATAATAATAATAATTAATATTATCTATAGCCACAGTCTTCTTGGAATTTTGGAAAAGGAGAAGAAGTACACTGACCTATACTTGGGACCTTATTGAATGGGAAGAAGAGGAGGTAAGATGTTATGAAACCAGGAGATAGAGAAACTGGGATAACACATGATGCAGAAAATTATTCACCGTCCTTAACATCCTAGCTGGAAGCAATTAAACGCCATTAGATTTTCCCTTGGTGTTTTTTACTAACAACATTTCTTATTTCAGGAAGAGAAGAGAGCTCATTGATGGAGTTATGTAATTTTTTTTTAAGCACTTCCATGATATTTCCTAAAATGACATTACTGAAAAATTGTGCTAATTAATATATATGTTAGGGATTATCTGGAAAATAATCGGCATTTTATTTTTTTTAAGTTGCTTCTTTTCCAAGACTTGCTATAAAAGGAAGCCAAAATCCAGGAATTTTGTATCAACCACTGGATGATTTTTTTTTTTTTAATTTATGACTTTGATATGTAGGTAACTTTAGTCTCTCTTCCAGGAAACACTTCGTCCCCAGTTTGAAGCCAAGTATTATAAGATGGAGAGAGTGAATCCCATTAGTGGGAAACCTGAGCCACATCAGCCTTCCTCAGACAAAGTCACTCGTCTTCTTGTTTCTATCTCAGGAATATTCTTCATGGTAAAGTATAACCATCAGTATCAGAATGTTGTTGGATTCCATGTTTAGAAGGAAGTTCTAAGATACCAACTTATTTTGCAACCCTTAGAGCGCAAGAAACCATATCCAGCTCAATACCTTGGTACTACATACTATTAAACAAAATTAAAATCACGGAAAGTCATGAATTATTGCAAAGACAATTTGGGAATATCTTTAAATAAAACACTCTTTGAGAGAAACAAAAATCATCTAAGATAAAATGGATATTTTTTGTGTTTCCCTGAAATTTATTAAGACTAAGCATTCCACTTGAAAGTGGAAATTTGAGCAACTTAAATCTTACAATATGTATTTTGACTCTAATGTAACTCAGTCCCTTAAAAGAAAAAAAAATGATGTATTCTTTCTTGGAAAAGGCAACTCCTTTAGCTCTGTGGGGGCAGTATATTAATCTATGGTATTGCTTTTGGTTTGTGAATTATGCAAAATATGGATGTCTCCTCTGGTCTCCCATATTGTAGATTTCTTTGGTGATCACTGCAGTGTTTGCTGTTGTCGTGTATCGCCTGGTTGTCATGGAACAGTTTGCATCATTCAAGTGGAATTTCATCAAACAACACTGGCAATTTGCAACATCAGCTGCTGCTGTCTGTATCAATTTTGTAATCATTATGGCACTGAATCTTGTAAGTGTTTACAGTTTTCAATAGGCGAAAAGGCATGGGTAGGGGAGAAGTCTGTTTCCTTCATGCTTGGATTGTATTTACAGGAATCCAAAATGAGACCAGCAATGCAACTCAGTTTAACAGAAACAAAATTCATCTATGTGGTGTGGATAATGGATTTTTTTAAATTAAAATAAATAATGGTTGTACTGTCATCCTTTCCTTTGAGTTTATAGTCTTGATTAGTGAAAACTTCCATTCTAATGTGTCTAGTGTGGACTAGAAAAGGTGCTATGCTCTTTTCATTCAAATAAGGGATTTTTTGGGTTCAAAAACCATTCCAAAAAACTGAACCTCAGTGGAGAATTTGTTACAAAGATATAGAAAAAGCTATTCGAAATAGAAAGCTTGTTATCTCCAAGGCTTAATGTGATATCGAAAATAGCTACTCTATTTCTCTTTCCTGGGTCTAAGCATTTTTCTCCTTCCTTCCTTCCTCCCTTCCTTCCTTCCTTCCTCCCCTCCTTCCTTCTTTCCTTCCTCCATCCTTCTTTCCTTCCCTCTTTCCTTCCTTCCTAATTTCCGTCCTTCCTTTCTTCTATCCACCCATCCTTTTTCTTTCTCTTTTCCTCTTCCTTCTTTCTTTCTTTCTTTCTTTCTTTCTTTCTTTCTTTCTTTTTTTCTTTCTTTCTTTCTTTTTCTTTCTTTCTTTCTTTCCTTTTCAGTTCTTCTGTTTGCATGTCTACCCTCTTCTATCAAGAAATGTCTGCCTTTATTTAACCATGACCCATCTGTCTCTCATAGCCGCCAGGGATGCTGTGGTATTGCAGTGATTTTGTTATCTTCTTTGGCTCTAACTACATGACCATGTTGGTCAGGTTTCCATAGTCCATTTAACTGAAATTATCTACTATTTCAATGTACTAATTTCTCAGAGAGAGCATCTGATTGGTTCAACATCATGTCCACTGGTTGACTTGTGACCTGTATGGATGAGAGGACATTATTATGCGTAGGTCCACATTTTCAGTAAGGATTATGGGTGGGGTCCTATTTTCTCTGAAGACAGGAGGCACTGTTTAGCACACTTAGGATAATCTCTGTCCTTTAATTATTCCAACAATGACACAAGACCAGTATTCTCTCCATTATGTAAATAAGGAAACGGATTTGGAGAGTTTAAATAACTTGTCCTAGATCATACATATACTAAGTGTTAATGCTGATATGTTTACATCATGAGATAATTTTTGTAGATATATGAGCAATATACAAATAACAATGTTGATATTATGTACAGGTAATGTGCATTTGGTTCCAAATATAGATTGACATAGATGTTTTGCATGTTTAGACTGGAGAGGGCTAGGACCATTTAAAATAATCAGGAAAGATTTTCAAAGAAAAGTGAAAAGTGATTGTGATAAGTAAGTTTTAATGCAAGGATGATAGTTAATATTTCCTACTGGGATCAGCTTTCTTCAGATTAATTTTTCTGGTAGAAGGAAAATACTGTTTTCCAGAGAACCTGACATTTTTCCTGAGAATTCTAAAATTTATCAGCATAGTGATTACATAATACAATATCCTAATATTTTAATGTCTTTCGTATCTGTAAGTGTATCTTATTAGGTACACTAATTAGTGGTTATTCACCTATCAAATACCCAGTGGCTCCCCACTGCTCACAAGAAGAAAAAAGAAAAAAAAGATGATGTCCGAATTGTTTAATGTTTAATTGGAGAGAATTGCAGTCTCTCCAAATAAACCACATAATATATTTAATTTATGTCCTTGGCTCATACATTAAAGTAAATAATAAACACTGAAAAAAATATAATACGAAGATGGGGAGGCATGGATGGTAATGTATGTAAGGTACTATAGGTTGCACACTGCACAAGTCACTACATTGAAGGAGGAGCCATTCATGGCATAGATGTAGGTTTTTATATTTATGATTATACTCTTCTGGTAGACAGTGAAAGATCTCAGTTCTAACAAAATCAATTGGTTATGACAATTTTACAGTAAACAAAGATTATTTGGATTGGCTTCATTATGTGAGGAAAAGGAGGCTAAATAAATGATGTGTTTATTTCTAGGGAACACAAGCAACCAACCAGTCTGGTCTTAAATTGACTTTGTTTTTTATTTTTAGTAGGTTAGTTGACATAAAAATGATTGTCCAGAGTCCTGCTATCTAGGATGACCTTACAGGCAAGTAGGGACATGGAAAACACTGAAGAATGAATGTTATCATAGTCGAAGCACAGAGGGCTTTGAGTAAAATGGGAAAGAAACCACACACTGCCCCTTAAATTGGTGGGGTTGTGATGGTGTATCAGAAGACTCCATGCAAAGAGGACAGGGTACTTATTCTGATGAGCCAAGAAAGAGCAGACAGTGAATTGTCATTTGGGGAAAGTCAACCCACAAATGTACAGAACCACAGAAGTGCATATTCTTTGTTCTAAGGGAATGGTAAGGGGTGTCTATAAAACATAAATTTATTGGAGAATGAAGAAAGAAAAATTAGAAAAGTAGATCAGTGCCTAGCTGTGGAGATCTGGAATAGCATGTAAATAATTCGGACATCATCTTTTTTTTCTTTTTTCTTCTTGTGAGCAGTGGGGAGCCACTGGGTATTTGATAGGTGAATAACCACTAATTAGTGTACCTAATAAGATACACTTACAGATACGAAAGACATTAAAATATTAGGATATTGTATTATGTAATCACTATGCTGATAAATTTTAGAATTCTCAGGAAAAATGTCAGGTTCTCTGGAAAAAAAAAGTATGTTCAAAACTCCTAAAAGTAAAAGTAGATATCCTGAGTACATTATCAAACATGGAAAAAATTGGAAAAATAATGATTACACAAAAGTAATGCTATGTCATCTAAAACACTGTATTAATAAGATGTTCTTTTGAATTTTAAGTAAAAAGATGATAATTTCCTGTTGTATAAATTAATCCCAAATTTAGACAAAGATGTAATGATTGATGAACAAACATAAACCTGATTTTAAAAATATATGTGGCAAAGATAGTATCGAAAATCAAACTAATGAGCAATTACAGCTACACAGATAAAAATCCCAAGTATACATAAAAATGTTATCAGGACTTATCTCTGAAAAGTACTGGTGATTATTTTCTTTACATATTGTCTAATGGTAAACATAGTTTGCATTTTCACGTTTTTTTTACAATAAGCTTATTTTCCATTTAAAACTAGTAAAAGATAAATATTTGATATTAATTTCTGATATTTTAAAGAAATCATAAATGATGGCAGGCCAAGATTTATGTAGAAGGATAGGTTTGTATTGTATTATTTAAAGTAGTAAATATTGGCAACAGACCCCTTAAATGAGCAAAAATAAGAGAATATTAATTCAAGTTCTATATAATGGAACATAATATAACCAAGTAAAATGCTATTTTAATATTATTTAAGGACATGACATGCAGATACATACAAAGCATCTACAACTGCACTTGATTTCCATTAGAACACATCTGCATTTTTAAACTATAAAGGAATAACAATAAAATGTTGACACTGTAAGGAATGGCAATAAAATGTGGTTATCTCTCAATAGTGGAATAATATTTGATTTAGTGTAACCTTTTTGGTTCTTTCAAATATTTATATGTAGATTTTTACTTATAATCAGAAAAAAAGAATCTTTACTTTTTTTAAAAAAAATTTTTTTTTTCAACGTTTATTTATTTTTGGGACAGAGAGAGACAGAGCATGAACGGGGGAGGGGCAGAGAGAGAGGGAGACACAGAATCGGAAACAGGCTCCAGGCTCTGAGCCATCAGCCCAGAGCCCGACGCAGGGCTCGAACTCACGGACCGCGAGATCGTGACCTGGCTGAAGTCGGACGCTTAACCGACTGCGCCACCCAGGCGCCCCAAGAATCTTTACTTTTAAAACATTCTACCATGGCATAAAATTTGGAACAAATTAGAAATGGAATGCACTTTATTTTTACTCTATATATGAGTCATCCATAAAACCACACCCACCCAGGTAGCAAACTTGGGTCACTTTTTAAATTTTGTCTTTCACTGCATAGAGAAAAGGTTTATCAGTGGCTGAGCCGCATGCCAGCACACGTGCGTGAGCGCGCGTGCGCACACACACACACACACACACACACACACACACTCTATTCCCTCTGTTCCCATGTGTGCCCCCTGCCCTTCCCCTGCCCTCTGAATGCTGCCCAGGCTCTCATCACTTTGTGGTGTCTCTCCTCAGTTTGGTGTCTGAATAAAAAGCAGTGGACGCAGGACAGAAGCAGAGCAAAGATTTGCACTTGATCTTTGTGATCCTAGCCATGCCACAAACATCTCTGAGCGTTCAAATGAGGGTGATAAAACTAACGCATAGGAGTATTGAAAGATTGAGATCTTCTAGTATGTGGATGGGTCTCAATAAATGTTAACCTTTTTCCTCTTAGCTTCTCTTCAATATTTTAAAATTTTATTTCTGTTTATAAGTCTATATACACCCCATTGTCTTTATTGCAAAATACCAACATTTTCTTTAATGTTTCCCTTTCTTTTCATCTTTTTTTTTTTTTTTAATTTTTTTTTCAACGTTTATTTATTTTTGGGACAGAGAGAGACAGAGCATGAACGGGGGAGGGGCAGAGAGAGAGGGAGACACAGAATCGGAAACAGGCTCCAGGCTCCGAGCCATCAGCCCAGAGCCTGACGCAGGGCTCAAACTCATGGACCGGGAGATCGTGACCTGGCTGAAGTCGGACGCTTAACCGACTGCGCCACCCAGGCGCCCCTCTTTTCATCTTTAAATGATAGAGTTTATTTATTAACCTTCAGTCCGATATAGGAATGCCAATAATCTTTTCTTTGTTCTTTTTAAGCTCTTCAAACCACATCTCATTTATTTATAATTTTTTCACTTTTTTTCTTTAAATATTACCTATTACTCATTCATAAATTTCTAAGTACTCAGAGTTGTCTGTAGAAAGGGAA